CCTTGCAAATTCCAGGAACATTAAAATGCTACCAAGGAACCGTATTCTTAGTTTGGTATCGAAAAAATTCCCGGGAAATACTTGCATGCAACAACAACAACAACGGCAACAACTTTATTTCAGTATTCCCACGTTAGTACATGGTATTACCTACTATTCTATATAATTATTAATGCTTTTCATTTATACGATATTCTAACGAAAAAAGCGAACGAAAAACACACAATTAAAATATCGGAGTTCATATTTTTTGTCCGGATACTTTTATTTGACTCGTGGGACAATTTTGTCCATGTCAAGCTCACTTACGGTTGGCTGTTGCCAAGTTGGATCTTGACCCTGTGACATGAAAACACAGCAAAATTCAAAGATGTAAGTTTAGATAACAGAGCTCGGAAATCGAGCTTGAAATGTGCCTCAAAGAAAACAAGGACAATTTAAGAACGATAATCTGCAAAATGTTGGTTGCTAAACGCAACAAATCTGATTGAAATGAAAGTTAAATACTCACGTTTTCGCCACAACGCCAAACAGCCCAGTTTCACGTCGCCGACGGGACCACGACGGCACTCACGACCATTCTCGTCCCCAGAGCCACTCGGCTTAATTTGTAACCGACCAGTTCCCTCGTTTCCCGACCACTTGACCAAGAAACGACGGGCTCTGGGGACGAGAATGGTTCACGACGGCAAGGTGGTGAGCAGGAGCATGCGCAATATCCAACAAATGATGATGTCACGTCCGGTTGAAGTTGCCGTCGCCCCGTCTCTATCTTAAGTTCCCTATAGTCTCCCACGCAGCCTTTCTTGTCTCGTCGCACAACGCTCCTCTCTTTGCGTGACGAGACGAAAACTGGGAGACCATTGATAAAATGGTAAACGATAACGCTCTGTTTTGAAGTGCGAAGCCTATTTTTCACTAGGACATTGCCTATAATTTTTCCATTCGAAGGGAAAAAGCATCGCATAAAAAACGTCGATAGTTACAAGACGATTGTTCCTGCAACGGCTTGTCGCTCAAAATATCCATTCCGGTCCATTCCGAGAGGAATGCCGCGCGCTGAAGTGACAAAATATCTTAAAAACTTTTGTCAATGGTTTTCAAAGAGTATTTCATGACTAACCTGTGACTATTTGAAATAACCCAACCATCGCTAGCCACAAAAGCAGTACCATGTTTGGGCTGGCTCTTTGTGTTCGCTGAATCCCTTTTAGATCGATCCCGCCTCGGCAGCGTGAAGAACCCACTAGGGTAGACGCAGCCGTTTATATCTCGTCACGCAAAGACGAGACAAAAACGTTTACTACTGTGGCCACTGAGGCGGTGTTTTAATGTTTTTGTTTTGTTTTGTTGTTTTTTTGGCGGTTATTATCTATGCATGTGCACATTTATATCACAGAGACTGCGGAGTCTAATGCTGTGAGCTTTTTGCCGAAGTTTGGGCTTTCACTTTGTAAAGAGATTGAAGGGGCCTCCAGTTAGGCGTTAGAAAAGCGGGGGTTACGTGAACGTGACTGTTCTCGGATTCTGCTAATTTAAAGCAAATTTATATTGTTGATCTAGCCTGCGTAGCAAGCGTTTCTGTGCGGTTTAGGAGCAAAGAACGAGGAACAAGAGTCAAAGACCGCGCGCAAAATGACGCAATTAAAAGAGCGGGGAAGGGGTGGGGTTTTCTTCCTTCCCCTCCCCCTTCGCCCTCTTTCATTTTTTAGCTCTCCTTTCATTTCTCGCGCGGTCAAAACCGAAATCCTGTTCCTCGGTCTGTTTTTTGGCTCCGAAACTAAACGGAAACGCTTGCTACGCAGGCTATTGTTGATGGGGCTCACTGAATGCATAAAGATTACGCTTCTTTCCCTTATCATTTTGTTTTTTCACCAGTACCAACAAAGAAAGCACGTAAACCAAGAAAACCCAATCACCACCCCAACCAGTTTTGTGCTTTAAAAAGGGCCCCCAGAAGTCCTTGCACGACATAACGTCATCGTCGAAAAATAAAAGAGGAAGCGGAAATGCGAGGAAATTTCCAAGAAGTCTGCCTCGAACGTGTTTCGTCTGATTCCTCAAGGTTCGTGGGTAATAACAAATGCTGAAAATAAGGTTAAAGCGTATCGTCGGTTAAAGATGTCTTCTCCAGGACAAGGAAAAGGTAACAAGCGAAAATCAAAGGGAAGGGGAGGTAGAGGAAGAGGAAGAGGGCGACAACAGCTGCCATCGACAACACCAGGAAGAAGTGAAGACGCCGCGAAGCTTCCTGATGAAAAGAGTGCGGATGAAGGACAGTTAGCTGGGGCAAGCTGTATAAGTTCTAATTCAGCAACACCTGCTAGTTTTTCAGATTCAAAAGCCCAGTCCGAGAATAAAAGCGGGCGGGAGAGCCGGTCTAAGACAGATTCCAGTTTTAAGGCTTCATCAACGCCTACAGCTCCTGTAAAGACGAAAGAGACCACAAGTCCTGTAGAACATCGTGAGACGCTGCAGAAATCAAGCCGTCCTTCTCCTAAAACAAATGAGCCGGGAAAATCAATGCAACAGCCATGTTCAGTAAAAGCTATTAAGGCAGGAAAGTCACCTTCATCATCTCCATCGTCTTCATCATCTGCCAGTAGAGGTAAACTTATTTTAATAGACCTTGTCACGGTTTTCGACGCCATCTTGACGATCGAGTAGGCAAAACGGTGCGAAATTACAGTGTTTGTATGAGAATCTAATGTCGAATATTTTCCATAAAACGGCTGTTCTGAAAAAAATATCAATTGTAAACTAAAGCTTCAAAGCAATTCTGGGGGCGTACCTGTACTTAAATTTCTCCAGACGCTTGCTTTAGATTTTCCATATATTTGTCTGTAATTTTCCCGGGACTTTCTTACAGACAAATGTATGGAAAATTTTAAAAAGTGGCTCTAAGTCTTCTGGTGCATGTAACGCCCCCAAATTTTTTTCAGTAGAATCCTTAGGAGTGAAGCTTTAGNCGTCTTCATCATCTGCCAGTAGAGGTAAACTTATTTTAATAGACCTTGTCACGGTTTTCGACGCCATCTTGACGATCGAGTAGGCAAAACGGTGCGAAATTACAGTGTTTGTATGAGAATCTAATGTCGAATATTTTCCATAAAACGGCTGTTCTGAAAAAAATATCAATTGTAAACTAAAGCTTCAAAGCAATTCTGGGGGCGTACCTGTACTTAAATTTCTCCAGACGCTTGCTTTAGATTTTCCATATATTTGTCTGTAATTTTCCCGGGACTTTCTTACAGACAAATGTATGGAAAATTTTAAAAAGTGGCTCTAAGTCTTCTGGTGCATGTAACGCCCCCAAATTTTTTTCAGTAGAATCCTTAGGAGTGAAGCTTTAGTTTACAAATCATATTTTTTTTCAGAAGAGTCGTTTTACGGAAATTATTTGACATTAGATTCTCACACAAACACTTTCTCACGCACTTGCCTACTCGTCAAGATCGCATCGAAAACCGTGACAAGGTCTGTTTTAAAGAAAAAATACGGTAGCCCTAATCCTATCTCCTAGTGGGTAACACCTAACAATGATGGATCGATCTCATTCAAGCACATACACCGTCTATTTAGCCGGTGTGACAGGAGCTAGTATAAAGAATTTATTTATCATTAAATACCTAACTGGCTTCTGGCACTGTTTTCCTTACCCTTTTTTTATGGCTCAAATAGAGCGTTTTCACATGATGTCATGGTGGCCATATGGGTGTTCCAAAACAATAAAACGGCGGCCATATTGATGTTCCAAACCAGTCCTGTGGGAGTTGAACTCTTTTCTTATGTAAACGCTTTCTTTTGTTCCCATAAATTTTCATAGACGCCGTGGCCACATGAGTGAAAATGCTCTATTGTGAAATCTCTTTATTCTTTTAAATTCTTAACTAAGAGTCTAAAAGTTAGTATCTCTTTTGAGTAGAGCATCCCCTATATTTTTATACATACCAGTAAATGCAGTAATACCGGAAAGTAATTGAAGTTCATTGGTCTGAGAGCTGGCATCACTCTGTAAGGCAAAAAAATTATTATTTGAGATTATTTGACACTGCATTAATATAAATATTGAGATTTTTTTCTCTCTTTAGCGTGGAAACAATGACAGGCTTTCGCATAAAAGTATAGTGCAAAGGCATTTTTGACAGAAATATTCTTCCAGGGGGTACCCAACAAAGTTGGAAAATTACAGAAATTCCAGGGGGTGGGAGGCGGGTATGACAAGTATCCTGTGAAATGAAAATTCCAGCAGGGTGAGGGTCTAAAAAAAAAGTGCCCTCCATGGGGGAGGAAAGGGGGGAGGTATGGATGTTTCTTGGAACTACACAATATATCTTTTATTGATACAGTAGACCAGCCTTTGAAGAAGGCTCCGACCATTGCAAGTGATACTACTGCTGATGATGAAAGAGATGTTAAATTAACAACCAAGTTTGGTTCTAGTTTGACTTCTGAAGGTAAAAACTTGAATTTTTAACTTGTCTTTGAATGAAATGTCAATTAACTTGTGAACGTTACAAATGTGCCTGTTTGATAGATTTCAGAAACTTTCTGTTACCATTGGTAAATCTGCATTCTTTTCTACTCACCATGACGACCATGAGGTTACCACAATTAAGTTGTGGATTTTTTCTTCAGGGCCCAACCAATACTGACTCAATACCCGATGACTTGATATAGCAGAAAAAGGAAGGTGCTGCCCCCCCGGGGGGAGGGGTACTCAACTAATGTTTATACGGGGAGGTTCAGCCTGAAGGTCAAACCCTTTACCCTTTTAAATACCATTTTTCACAAAAAAGGTACCCCTTCTGACTGTATACTTTCTATTGACAAATGATACCCTTTCACATACCTTGTTTAGAACTTTGCATCCCTTTTAACTGCTGTAAATGCACTGTCTTGTAAATAGGAATCAATCATAAAAATAGAACGTTTTTTCAATGTTTAAAAGCCTTAAAATTCATCTGTTAGCCCTTTGGGCCCTTTCACAGACCCAAATGACAGATTTCCGTATTCTTTTATATACTTCAGCTGGTGAAATCCCTACCCTTTGTTATACCTGAAGCCTGAAAAAGATACCCCTTTTGGGTGGAGCCTCCCTGTATAGGCCATTATAGGGAGTCCCCCCCCCCCAGGTGCTGCCCTTGCCTTTATAACGATTAGACCTCTGTATGGCTCAGATTACAATGTAGAATTGGGCATAACACAGTGCCCTTAATTTAGTTAATTTCATGCAAAATATTACATTGACACTTGGATATAGTAGGTAAGTTTAAGTATCACTGATGTATCATTCTTACCTATTTTATCACAGCCCGCCAAACTCAAGTAGCTTACCATCGTCCTAAAAGGCCTGACTATGGCATTGAAGGCCAACCTATTGCATTAAGAGCAAACTATTACCCCATTAAGATCTCACCTGGGCTTTCTGATCTGTATCACTATGATGTGAACGTAACACCTAATCTTAAAGAGAAAAGAGAAGTTGTCGATGAGATCATTAGAAAGTACAAGGATACAACATTCCAAGGTCATGTACCTGCTTTTGATGGGAAGAAGAACTTGTACAGTAGAATTAGACTTCCTGTGGGAAATGGACAAGGAGTGGTAAGCAAAGTTTATTACTCGATACATATTGTTCATCTAAAAGTAAAGTTCGTTTTTTTCAGTGAATTATGCCAGTTTGTCTCTCCTTTAATCAGTTCAGTAAGGTTCAGTTCAGTTTATTTATTTAGCCAACTGAATAAAATACATATTAATTATCAGGGGCGTAGCCAGCTTTTCGACTAGTTGTAGGCCTGGCTGACTTTCATTTCCACATATCCTGAAAATTGCACGCATGACCAGTACGCACTGACCTCACCAAAACTTTGAGCTCTTAATAAGCTTTCTAATTCTTTTTAGCTCACCCCAAGAACGCGTCTGATTTATTTACAAGCGGTAGAGTGATCAAGCCAAAAATTTGTAGGCCCGGGCCCACGCTGTCTATGGGCTGGCTACGCTCATGATTATTAACAGAAACTCATGAGGGTCAGGGTTGAAACTTACAACTCTCATATGTTTGCTTTGTCCGACAGCTCGTGAACGACGTATTGAAATTTTACTCTAGGTAATTCATGGCTTACATGCAACAGAGCCGATGGTTACGAAAACGTCACCAAAGATGAACTCGCGCTGCCTCAAACTTTATCCGGCACTAGCATATTCGATCTCTTTTTGTTCGTCAAATGTTAGCAAATGTTTCTGGAGTTGAATTGTGATGACTTTATCGAGATTCAGGAAAAGAAAAAGAAAGTAGTTGTCTTGTCGTTTCGCCCACCACACAACCGAAACGTGAAGTTAGGCATTCTTACGTCGAAGTTGTGCCATGACGGCAAAGAAATGTACACGTACAAAAAGGCTTGCAAATATCTATTTGTTGTACTCTGTTCATATTCTTCCTTTTCTTGTTTTTTCGAATATGAAGTCTGAACTCAGTGTCAAGTTAAGCGGTGAAGGTGGTGGTAAAGACAGACATTTTAAGGTTGGTTCTTTACGGGCGTAACATATTGCTCTATTCAATTCCTCTTTGCGTCTTATTTATTTTGTAACTAATAGACAGTATGTGAATATGGTTTATTAGAAATCTTTAAATCTCTCTTGAATGATCCTTAATATCTGTAAAACGGTGGTACCTACGAACTTGTTAGATATTTTTTCTCGTGTAGATTCTTTCTATTCCTGTAACAGAACTGCATAAACTGAGAAAACAGAAGAGCCCCTCTTTTTCGCGCACTGGATGTAATATTGGAGTTAACTTGAATATCCCCCTTCCGGTTTCTCTCTTCTCATCTGCCTCCAGAAACGCCTGATACTCAGGCTATATTGGAACAAATAAGGGAATCTTCAAAATTGCAGTCTACTCCTTAAAGGCATTCTCCTGGACTCTACTGTGACCTGTGACATCCCCGAGAGAAACTGTACCCCTTCCTAGACATCACGTGGAAAACGGGAGAAGAGAGAACACCTTACCGGACTAGGCTGCAAAAATTGCATTTAAGTCTAACATTTCTACAGCTTTTAGAACACTAGAAAACTGTTGCTGTTGATTTGTTATTACAGAAAATCCCAAGCCTTCATCCGGTCGTTGCTAAGTAACTGTTTTTAAAATTCCCCTTTTTAATGCAGAAAAGTTATGGCGGGGATAGAGAATTTTAGAGCTGCATGAATTTGTTCGTGAGCATTTCCCCTTTTTTTTTAGTTAATTTTGAATCCCTTTGCATGTACTTTTTTGTACTTCGCCCCCCTCCCTTATAATTTTTCTAATGGTCCGTCCCTGATGCTTATTTCCTTCGTTCACGCATCCTTTTGGCCTTTTTCTATCTAATTTAGTCTTATTACTAGTCTTATTTTATCTCATTTAATTTTCGAACTTCCTTGTTGCTCATTTATCTTTTCATTGGTGTAAACACTACCCGCCCAGATCTGCAACTGCTGGCTGTTCAGTAGCTTTCGACTTTAAACTGCAGTGTCTCAAAAACTATGATAAAAAAAAGTTGTGTAAATTGTCTGTTGGATTTCTGGAGGGTTCACTGTTGAACTTATTTACCAAAAACACTGTTTCTCTCGTTTCTTTCCCGCAAGGTGAAAGTCCAGTTTGCTGGGCAAGTGAGTTTATATGAGTTGAAAAAGTTCTTAGATGGTGAGGGCAATGGACAAGCCCCTCAAAAGGCTATTCAAGCTTTAGACATCATAATGCGTCAAGGGATGCCGTCTCTTAAATTCATGCCAGTTGGGAGATCTTTCTTTCCTATATTTGATGGGTTTGCCCGTCCTTTGGGGGAAGGTTGTGAGGTACGGTTTGGTTTCTATCAGTCTGTCAGGCATTCAGAGTGGAAGGTACCACTATTAAACATTGATGGTAGGTAGTTCTTGGCAAGTAACCGTATTCATTTTTAAACAGTACAGTAAAACCCCGCGATTAGGAACCTGGATTTTCCCAAGTTAGCCTTAAAAGGTTCTTATTTATAATATAACTAAGATAAAACGCGCGTTCCGATTGGTTAAAAACCTATGGTTTATTGTGCCGGTAAACTCACAGAAAACTCCGTTTTACTTAAAGTTCATTCAGTATAAAAGCAATAGACCACACTTCCTATGGGTTTACCGCCGTGATACTCCACTTGGGATGTTCGGAGAACACTCGAAAAGTAAAGAAGCTTTTCTTGTTCCCCAACATCCCGCGTGGGTTTTCACGCCGGTAAACATAGAAAGTGTGGTCTATTGCTTAAATAAATGGCAGTTAGCACAAGTTAATGCTATTTAGGTTATTTAATAGGTTCTTATTTTCCAAAGGAAAAAAATATATTATTGGAGAGTGAATACCGTATTTATTCGAATAAGCGCCGAAACTCGAATTAGCGCCCACCTCGAATAAGCGCCCATCCTAAAGGCAGAAAACGTTAATAGGCGCCCAGCCTCGAATAAGCGCCCACCCCAACCCCTCCCCCCTCCCCTTCCCACTCAAACTCAGATAAGCTGTATCTGCTTCTGGGGCGGCTAACCCATTTGCTGACGTTACGATGTCGGACATCGAGGAGGCAGCACCAGAGAATTCATTTATTGACTTGAGTGACAACGAGACCGAGTTTGAAATTGAATAAGTACTAATAAGAGACTTCCCCGAAGACGGAATTTTTTTTCAGAGCATTTTACAGAAATCTTTTCTTTGTTACATCTTTTCGCGTTTTGTTATTACTACAATAATAGCAATAACAATAATTTATTACATACTGCACTTGCTGAAAATGGTGAATATTTAATAAGCGCCCACCTCGATTAAGCGCCCACTCTCAGGGTCCAAAAATTTAATAAGCGCCCAGGGCGGTTAATCGAATAAATACGGTACTAATAATTCTTGCTGATATAATTTGTATACTGTATTTAATTTGTAATTGTATCAATAACAGTTATAAGGCACCTATATCTCCAAAGAGGATTCTGAATGTTGACTCTGTATCTTATTTGCCCAAGTGCACAGAATTTTTTCACAGATTTTAGAAAATAAGAACCTCTTTCAAATTTTAGACTTAACAGATTCTCATATAGAGGGGGCTTAATTGGCAAATTTTAGCCAATAAACAGGTTCTTAGAATTCAAGTTCTTATTGGTCGCGGGGTTTTACTGTACTCAACCTTTCCGACTCCCTCTACCCCTCCCCTTACTGGAGTCATGATGAGGTGGCCCAGTTTGAGGCATCCTCGGAGACCCAGGGGCGGTTAGTCGGGTCGATAAAATGTTGGCGGTGAAAGTTTATAGTAACTTTCACCACGAACATTTTATCGGCCCGACTAACCGCCCCTGTATGGTGTACCATCTCCGCCAAAAAGCAAACTTGTAACTCAACATCCAACTTTACCGTTGTCAACATCGGACTTTACAGTCAACATAGAACTTTGTTGTTATCAACAACGGACTTTACAGTTGTCAACATCGAACTATTGACTCAACATCCGACATTACAGTTATCAACAGCGGACCATTGGCTCAACATCGGACTTTAGTTGACTATTTGTAACTCAACATCCAACTGCACAGTTGTCAACATCGCACTATTGACTCAACATCCGACATTACAGTTATCAACAGCGGACTTTGTCACGTCAACAAAACAAAATGTTCGACTTTGCCAAACGCCATGTTCGTCTTCGTAAAGTTCGATGTTGAGTTCTCTTCGTGCGTGCCAAATCCGCCGATAATTATGGGATTGCCAGAATGACGTCACTATGGCAAAGCCTCGCTCTCGTGTGAAAAAAGATGGCGGACTTGAGGAGTGTTATTGACATGTTGAATGATCTAGTCNCTTGACGAATAAAAGCACACTGAGGCTGACGGAGCCGCTCTTAGTGATTCTGTATTCCTTCCACAAAATGCTTTTTGTTATTTAATTTCGCCTTTTGTAATATGTTGCATTTTTTTTTGCTTTCTACCGCTCAGGGCTTCGTGTTGAAACCAACCATCTTCCCTACAAAAGAAAATACACAGTGTGGGGCGTGACAAAGGAGTCAGCAGATAAGCGACAGTTTGAAATCGATGACAAAGACAGTGGAAGGAAATATAAACTAACTGTGGCTGAGTATTTTAAAGAAACTTACAAGATGGAGCTAAGGTGCACATTTGCTGTTTTTGTGTGATTTATAGAGACTTTATAGAATCACCTTTACTACAAACGTCAATGTAGACCAAGTGATTAAGATTTTTCTTTTACTTGTCGTTTAATGTTCATAAGGCCAAGGCCAAGGCCAAATGTCGAACTTTTTATGAGACGAATCGAATTATAATTTGAGTAGACCTAAATTAAGTTAAGTTCGTCTTTTGGGTCAGACGTCGAACTAATAGTCGAACCAATCAGACAACAAATGGGACCAGGGGGTCTCAAATACCGGATTGTGATTGCTTGAATTTTCTCCCGAAATTTATTGGGTTTTCAGCTGCTTTAAACCGCCGCCCGGTTAGCTCAGTTGGAAGAGCGCCGGTCTGCTGAGCGGGAGGTCGTGCGTTCAAACCCCGGCCGGACCATCAACCAAGGCCTTTAAAGACCTGGTGAGATCATGCTAGCTGTGACTAAAACCCCTTTCTCAGTTCAGATGATCGTGTCATTGGGCGGTGGCGTTAAGCTGTTGGCCTTGTCTCCTTCATCCTTGTACTCCAGTTAGAAGGGGACGTAAAAGAACCCGTGACATTGTTCGAAAAGAATAGGGGACGTAGGCCCCAATGTCATGGTCTATCCGACTTATGCCGTCATCGGTCTGGTTGGGCGAGGTGTGATCAAAGCATGGACTGAAGTGGCTGCAAGAGTGCGCCTTTCCATGCTGACATCCGATCTCACCTCTCTGGTTCCTCCGCAATTTTACCACTGGCTACAAGTGAGGAAAATTGGCATCATATGTCTTTTTTAATATTTCAATCGGTATATTAAAAAATAAGGGCGACATCAATCAGGAGGGTCAAGAAACGTGCAACCACTTTCAGACATCCCGGGAAAGTTCACATAATTTAAGCCATACACGGTAATAAAATGCAAAGTTTATTTTTCAAATTCACAATCTGCCGAACATTTCTTTTCTAGGACGGGCAGATTATCGGCCGCTTTTTTGGGAAATGATCCTACGCTCCTCCGAGTGTGTGGCGGAAATCGAGCTTGGAAAAAAAAAACATTTAAAGCGTATGCACGAAGTACAACGGCTGATATCGACAGGTTTACGAGATATTCATAACTGGATAACAGATGAGCGCATAGTTTTTTAAAGTGTTTACGTGCACGTGTGGCACAGAGACTGTGCACGGGAGAATCCCGAAAGGTATTGTGGGTGGTTTTGAGTTCACTGTTTGTTCAAAAAAAATGAAAGAGTAGCACGAGCGACCATGGACGTATGTTTGTGACTGCTAAAAGAAGGCAGCAAAACTATGTTCGACATATATGTTTAACTAACGAACTGAGGGGAAAAAAGTGCCCATGAAATGGTAAAAGATTTAACACGTGGTCAGGGAAAGCTTCCAAGTGTCTCTTCAAAGCCTGTTTTAACAAGCTTTTAAAACAATATCATTAAAACACTTTATTATTCATTCAAAATATTTCCCCAATTCTGATTGGCTAAACGGAGGCATAATTCACCATAACCAGTTACTGATGACCAAATTTGGAAGAATTTTGTGTTTAACGAGGAAATGACGTCAAAAATGCAGCCCGCTACTGGTTCACAGGTTAAGGCACCGTTACCGAGAAGACCTGGTGACGAGGTTGAGTTGTTTTGGTTGAGAAAGAACTACAGCTGGAACTATTGGAGGTGAAATAATAGCTAAAAACATGGCAAAAACAGAAAGAAGACAACTCGGAGGGCGACGTCTCCTATTTGGAGAATATTTGCGGAGCTGGACAAACCTAAACGTACATTATCGAAAATGAACTTAACATCGATGCAGGTAAGCATGTTTTAGCTAGCTTCGGCCTCGGTGGATAACACCCTTCTCGATCTGCTTAATTCTTCATATCCTACTCAGCCTCATTCATTAATTGTAGCTTTCAAAACACACTTTTTTCATAGCCATTTGCTTTTTACAAAACAACGCGTTCCTCTTAGGTAAATTTCCTGGCCTGGTTTCTGGAAAAATTTATAACTTTCATTGTCTTGAGACACAGGCAAAGAATTTTAAAACTTTTTTACTGGATTTAACTCTTGGCCTCCGGAAACGGGGCGAAGTATTAGATGTCCTAAGAACAGTGGTTTAAGGGTATATCCCAAACAAGTTTAACTATGAAAGAATAGGTTTTTTATTTTACTTATCTAAAACGTCCTAATTTAAAGTTAGGCACTTATTGAAACGAATACCTGCCATTAATACTTACCATGCACTATCATAATCAATGGCCGTTGCTTTTAGATACGCTCATCTTCCTTGTTTGACAGCCGGACCAAAGAAAGACCGTTATCTACCTATGGATGTGTGCACAGTTATACCTTCCCCGAGAAAACATTTAACTGAAGAGCAGACTTCAAACATGATTAGGAACACTGCGCGCCCTGCACCCGAACGGCAACAAAACATTGACGAATGGGTAGGCTTTTTTTGCCAAGTTTCTATTGTCTTATAGAAGCCCGTGCGGGTTTGAGAGGCAACAAAACTTGTCAAATATAATAGGGCTGAAGAATGCCAAGTGAGACTAGCACTAGTGCATTGAAAAGGCTAGTTCCTTCCGCGTCCCCTCCAGTTTCCACTGACATTTTGACACGAGAAACAGTTTTCAGGTAGTGGGCGAGGTATAGGGCAGATTGAGATTTTTGTATATGTGCATACAGGCTCTCCCGTTCTCCCCTCCCGCCGTTTTTCGCTCGTTCGTTATTTCACTGCTCGCTTGCTTTTTTCGCTCGTCCGCACAGAGCGTGGCACAGGCTAGTGTATCCCACGCATATAATAGAGGTGATAACTTTTTTTCGGTATAAATCTATAAAACCAAATGTTTTATGATTTCAATTTGTTTCATTTTTACTTTGTTAGGTTTATGAAAGGGCTAAACTAAGTGATGAAGGCAAATTCAAAGGAAAGCGAATATTTTAAACTGATTGATGTTTACTGTATGTCTCATGTTTTTAGCAAATTAAGACGAGGATTTTCTTTTTGCAAACCCACACAGGCTACGAAGTACGCGGAATTCAGCGCAGAGTACTTAGAGAAGGAGTTCGGAATCTCTGTACACTCTGAAATGGTCAAAGTGGAAGGCCGTGTGTTACCAGCACCTAATCTTTCTCTTGGACCGCAAGATGAAGTACTGACCCCTCAAAAGGGAGGATGGGATTTACGCGGCAAACATTTGCACAGTGGAGCTCAGTTAAGTGTATGGACCGTGGCGTGCTTTGCCTTGGAGCCTAATCAGTACAGTGATGGTTTGCTGAGGAAGTTTTTCAAGGCATTGACCAACATGTCGTGTCGGGAAGGAATGAAAATGGCACAACCAGTTGATTGGCGATACTTCGAAAGCAGACATGAGGTAAGATAGGTTTTTTTGGGGCAGTTCTTGATACTGTGGAAGTCTCTTTTTAGTTAGCTTTCACGTTGTGTGGTGACTGTTATTTGGTGTCTTGACATTTGCATCTAACCGTTATTTTCAAGAAACGGAGAGACATCCAAACGATGCATGTTGACTTCAGTGGTGTCTCCTGTCGCAGGATGGTCCATGTTTTTTTTGTGTCGTGTCCTATGCTCCTTACTGTATTTTCCATTGTGACCTTACGAAAGCATGCGCTCACGTTTGCTTTAACAATTACTTTCTCGCCCTTATTTCACTCTGAGTGTACTTTTGCCGTCTTTATACGCCTTTGTTTTGGTCTCCGTAGAGGTGTGGTGGCCGAGCGGTTAGCACCCTAAACGTCGGACCTGTAGGTCCCGATCCACTGTCTTCCTTCACGTAGGATGGACAAGCACCCAATCCAGGGGGGTAGCAGTAGTAATACTCCTTACCTAGGTGCTTCTTGCTACTGAAACCAAGATATGTACATGTGGGTCTCCTCAGCTCTTCCTTTTGGCTTGTGTTGGCCTTTATCTTATACCTCTTTCGGTTGCTAGTTCATTCATTTTCGTTTGTCTGTTTGCCGATTTTAGGTAGAAGGTTCATTTCGTGGGTGGCAACAGAAATTTCCAAACATACAGCTTGTCATGGTTATTGTTCCAATGAAGAACAATAAAGAAATTTATGCTGAAGTCAAACGAGTGGGTGACAACGTGCTTGGGATTCCTACCCAATGTGTCAAGATCAAACAGGTTGAAGATGCGAAACCGCAAGTCTGTGCCAACCTGTCGATGAAGATTAATGCAAAACTAGGAGGAGTGAACCATGTTATTCATCCTTCAGTCCAGTTCAATTACGTTATCATATTTGGCGCTGATGTTACTCACCCCTCTCCTACTGAAAAAGAAATTCCATCAATCGCTGCTGTAGTGGCAAGTATGGATGTCAATGCTGCGAAATACCATGCGCGAGTTCTTGCACAGAAACACGAGAGGTCTGGAGGTGCACAGGAGATTATCGATGATCTGGCCGTCATGGTGAAAAAGTTGCTTTTTGATTTCTACAAAGAAACAAAAGGAAGGAAGCCTAAGCGTATCATATTCTACAGAGACGGAGTAAGCGAAGGTCAGTTTGATCAAGTGCTCGTTCATGAAGTGCGCGCTGTGCAAGAAGCTTGCGAAATGCTTGAAAAAGAGTATCACCCACAAATTACATTCATTGTGGTTCAGAAAAGACACCACACGAGGTTGTTTTGTGAAGACATGCGAGATGCATCCGGGAAAGATCAAAATGTCCCACCAGGCACCACTGTGGATAGAGGGATCACCCATCCCTATGAGTTTGATTTCTATTTGTGCAGCCATTACGGAATTAAGGTAGGCTGTCAACTTATCTTAAAGATCACATTTTGAATAGACCTTTTTCATTTGTCTTTTTTGTTTTCACAATGTGTTTTCTTGGTAGAAATAGAAAGTCGGCTTGTCAGGGTGAATATATCAAATTTCGAAAGAGAATTTTCCCTTGATTCCTAGCAAACGGTCTACAGACCTTTCCCACACTCCACTCCGGTGGCGAGGCACACATGATGTAACGAGGTCAAGGCTTGGGTGGGCAATATCATGCAAACTTGTACCGTATTTTGCTCTGCGTTGGTACCTTTTTCCATGCGAATGCGGGAAAGAGTTCAATTATCGACTAGAAAACCTCTTTGAAACAAAATAAATTGCTTTTTTGTCTATTTATATGAATGCAAAGAAATATAATCATCGAAACGAAAATTAATGTGAAAACTGAGCTTTTAACCTTCTCACCAGCTTTCAGTCTGTTTTTCGATATATTAGGTACCTTAACTCTATATCATAGTTAAGCTTTGTGGTTTAAACTTCATAGATTAATTAATTAACTATAGCAAACTTCTATATATATATATATATATATATATATATATATATTCTTGTATTCTGGGTAGAACGTATTTCGTAGAGCGTTCAATTCATTTGAAACAGCACTGTCGCAATAAACGATCAATGATTACTCCTGAAGCCTGAACCCCTGTGATTATACATATATATATATATATATAGTTTGTACAAAGGAGAATGGACTACATATGTTGATTTGAATCCTTTATTGACCCATATATATATATATATATATATATATATATATATATTTAAACTTCATAGATTAATTAATTAACTACAGCAGTTTTCTATATATATATATATATGTATATATATATCTATATATATATATATAGAAAATTGCTGTAGTTAATTAATTAATCTATGAAGTTTAAACCACAAAGCTTAACTATGATATAGAGTTAAGGTACCTAATATATCGAAAAACAGACTGAAAGCTGGTATATATATACACCCGTTTTCAAAAAGGTTTTCATATAGAGAGATATATTGATAGATATATACTTTTGTTTTCTTGCACGTGCGCCAGTGTGCAATAAAATAAAACTCGGTTGAACGATAAATTTTTTCTTCGTCGGGTTCTTTGTTCCAATTTCAAAGGAACATGTCGTTTGAGTTTTTTTTAGAAAAAAGCTTCCGCCCTGCAATACAATTTTGCAATGGCGAATTATATGACTGATTTTGGGAATGAGGAAAACAGCCCGCGAAGAAGCCGAGTTATGCGGTGTCACCAAATTGATAGGCCAAATGTCATGGGATCTGAAGAAGGTGGCGAAGCATTTTTATTGACGGGGTGTATTAAAAAATACGCTGTCCAGGGGCGTGCTTAAGAGAAACTGTTAAACTAACCTGAAAACATTTGTGGCCGAGAATTTATTCTGTCTTCAGTGCGACGTTGCCTTACAGGCCGTGATTTTACACGAAAAAAGGTGAGACATTAATATGTATGATCCGCTCATCATGGTTATGATAAAATCTACTTCTATAAACCTAGTCAACGTCTTGGTCCGTTTTAATCAACTGCTATGATATTTTTGCTCCTTCCCACATATCTAATATCGACATCAACCGTCACATCTTCCTTCTCAGGAAAAAAAATCAGCGGTTTCGAAAACACTTCTTTTTTTTCATTTCATCTGCGTTGCTGTGAAAACGAAAATCTTTGATGATTTTCTCCTTATCCTGAAACTACAACAAATATATGACCTACAACTAACCGAATTCTGCATTCTTTTATTTTCAAAAGAATGCAAATCAAGAGAATTGCAGACAATATTCGTGCATTCTCTTTTTTATTGACAAAAATTGGAAAAAAGAACCTCACGAAGAGAGAATTTATCGCTGAACCAAGTTTTTTCACAAGTTGGACAATAAGAAGTGAAAAATGCGCACGGGCGCACGTGCAAGAAAACAAAACTATATATCTATCTATATATCTCTCAATATGAAAACCTTTTTGAAAACGGGTGTATATATATATATATATATATATATATATATATATATATATATATATACAAACAGAAAACACCCCTTTGTAAGTTGTCAGTTGGTGGTACTGTTTGTTGGTTTGTCTTTTCATTTTTTACCAAATAATAGTTTTCTGTGATTTTCAGTGTGGGATTTTCTTTTTCCTTGTCTTCTTCCTTGTGTCGTTTCAGGGGACAAGCCGACCAACACACTATCACGTTTTATACGACGAAAACGGTTTTAAGGCTGATGGACTTCAAAAGCTCACATATCAACTGTGCCACGTTTACGCCCGATGCCCGCGGAGTGTTTCCATGCCAGCCCCCGTATTTTATGCTCATTTGGTAGCCTTCCGTGCCAGATACCACGTGACTTATGGGAGGTGAGAGGCGTAATAATAACAACAAGAGGAAATAGTAATAGCATTTTAGCTGCCTATTTGCACCCTACCTTACATCAGATGAACCAGTAATTCTTGAAGCTGACACTTGATATATTTTAAGAACTCTCGTCTTAAACGATTACTGAACACTTTTCTGTTGACTGTTCTCTACCTAGGGACGGTGAAGCTATTGATTTGGAGAGGTCAGCCAAAGCCATAGAAGTTAGTGACAAAATGAAGCAGGAGATGTACTTCATTTGAGCATCTGAACGACAGCAAAGCGACCCGATTGTTGCTGAATTCAGAATTTTTCATTTATTGGTTTATTCAGATATTTACAGTTTTATTCTCTAACTGCCCACAAATAGCAAAAGGCTAGTCTAGGTGGGCAGTGTCTATTTAAAAACAAATACACACTCACGATGTTATATTAAATTAACAGGATCACAAAAGTTATTTAAGCTTATATAAATATATTAAGTTGTACAAAAGGTAAGGAACAGAAAAAAGGTTACGTTAAAAACATTGCTGAGATTAACTGGAATACAGAATATAAGTCAGAAGCTTACAAGTACACTATTAAGAAACGGTCCAGATAAGAACGATAGCAACAACGGCAACGAACATGTCGGAATGCAAAAAAGGTGCTAACTTTACTATTGTCTGTACTTACTTCTGATTGGCTTAAACAGCAAAAGTTAACAAGACTTCATAAAGCAGTACATATATTCATCCTTACTTTCCAGCCATCTTCCATATAACAAAATCTGGTCTCAGTTTGAATAACAAAGAAATCCTATGTGGGGAACATGTAAAATTGTAAACTTTTCTTGGCTATTGTTTTCAACTCTTGTGATTGGTCAAAATCTTTTAACACAAAAAAATACTCTTTCAAAGTGGAGTGTAAATGCATTTTATTGCGTAAACGACCTTCATGTAGGTTTATGCATTCTCTGTGTAAAAATGAGAACATTCCTATGAGGGGAAAGCACCGTTGCCGCATAACAAAAGAATTTGCTATCCATCTTACCCGGATCGTTACTTAAGATGATTGCAAAGATAACAAGTGGGTGAATTACGGACGATTTTGAATATGTTGCATTTGTCCTAATAACGTAGGTAGATCAGGATAGGCGTTTGTTTGTGAAAGGATTTGAAGTAAGCAATCATGTATTTTCTTTTTAAAGCTTTCTAATACTCGGAGGTATGCAATTCCATATTTTGGCCCCCAATCTTGAAAATGATTTGCCTTGTTTATCCAGTTTTGAAAATTTAATTTCGTAATCACCTCTTGGCGAGGATCTAGTGTTATAAGCGTGTACTTGATCAGTAGTGTTAAATAAACGTCAAATATTCTGTGTTGCTAAATTGTTTGTGATATCGTGCATGAGAATAGCAACTGATTTGAAATAGAGCATGTTCAGGGGAAGAATATTAGAGGACAAAAAATATGGAATCGCGTGAGCTGTATAATGGGCAAAGTGCATCAAACGAAGGGCACGCTTTTGCAGCAAAATGAGTCTTGGCCGCTTGTCGCCAGGCGATTATATCATATGACGAATAAGAGGAAAGGAGGGCTTTATAAATAGTCTGGAGGGTATTCAGTGGTACGAAGTGTCTGAGTCTAGCAATTATGCCAGCTGTTTTACTAATCTTCTTCATTAATATAATTAATGTGTTGCTTCCAAGTCAAATTGTTATCATTGAGCACCCCCATGGCCAAGTACTTAACGTAAGTTTTGCATTCCAGAGGAATGAATTTTTTAGAATAATGGTGGAAAGGTTTTAGATTTACTTGGTGGTTGGGCCTTTTTTGATAAGGGTGGAAAATAAAAAAGTTGCCTTTTTCAATGTTTAACGATAATTTGTTTGCAATTAACCAGTTTTATACACTGAGAAGTTCACAATTAACAACAGTCTCGAGAGACTTCAAATTTCGGTCGGCGTATAGAAGATTTGTGTCATCAGCGAAAGGGTAAAACTTTATTTATCGGAGCAATTTTGCATATCGTTAACATATAGTAGAAAAAGTAATGGTCAAAGAACCGAACCCTGAGGGACACCCGATAACTTGACTGCCTTGTCCGACATTTCAAGCCCAACCTGAGTTGTCTGGGTACGATTTCGTCTGATATGATGAAAACCACTCGTCGACAATGCCTCGAATACCGTAGTGCTTCAGTTTTTCTAGTAATAGTGATTGACCGTATTTAATGCCTCTCGTAGATCTATAAAGATACCGCACGAGAAAAGCTTGTGATCCATATTTGTTTGTATTTGGCTTATTATGTCAAGAATGGCATGTTGTGTGGAATGCTTATCGCGGAATCCATACTGCGATTTATAAAATACTCCTTGCTTGTCCAGTTATACTTTTAGACGATTATAGATGAGTTTTTCGAAAATTCGGTTAAAAACGGAAAGGAGTGATATTGGCCGGTAATTGGATGGAATGGTCTTGTCATCATTTTTGAAAATAGGTATTACTTTGGCATGCTTTAGTGTAGAAGGATAGATGGCGGTTTAAACTGATTGGTTTATTATGAATGATAGAGGATAACTTATAATATGACTTGCTAGTCGTAAGATGCGGATAGGTACGGAGTGTAATCCAAAAGCTCTATTTGATGGGATCATTATTATTTCTTATTCAATTTCCTTAGACGTTACTGGACAAAAAAAGAAAGAGCCTGGGTTACTTAATCTTGGGAGGTATGAAGTAAACTGAGTGGATGGCTTTGGCATTTTAGAGGATAGACTTTCGCCAACTGATGAGAAAAAATTATTGAAAATATTTGGGAACTCAGTCGTATCATTTAATAGTTTATTACTTCTCGGGCATTTTAGAGCAAAAATCACGGCTTTTTGTTTCTTCTTCTGTCGATTTGTGGGTCCACTTATGCTTTGCCATGTTTTTTTGGCATTAGTGATACGTTCCTCAAAATATTTGTGGAAATGCATTTTTTTACTTAGAGGAATGAGCATTGAGACTTTATTCCTGTAAAATTTGTATTTGTCTATATCACCAGATTAAAAAAGGGAATTCTTTATCATGATTGATTTACTAATTGCCTTAGTTATCCAAGGTTTGGATGACTGTTTCGATCTTCTGTTTGAAATCGGTTTTAGGGGAGCATGTTTGTTAATAATGGTGTTGACTTTATTGTAAAATGTCGAGAATGATTGATTGGGATCATCTTTTGACGTAACAAGGCGGTCCAGGTCCAATTGGGAAAGGTCTTCCAGAAAATTAGCGTTTGAGATGTTTGATAATCACGGATTCTAGGTTTGCTGTAAATCTTCCGGTAAACCCATAGAAAGTGTGGCCTATTGCTTTTATAAAATAACTTTAAGTTTTCTACGAGTTTACCGGCACAATAAACCATAGGCTTTTAACCAAGCAGAACGCGCGTACTATTTTAGTTATTTTATAAAACGTCATAGTCCGAGATAGCAAACCAATCAGGTTGCTTGAATCACCAAGATCACCGAGTGTGTATAATACTTAACTCCATTATTACACTGATGGGAAGCGTTAGGGTCTACATCAACAATATGATCGCGTGATGAAAACGGTCACATATATATATATTTATATATACAACTAATCTAATTCGTAGGCTGGTTGATTAGGTGAGTCTTCAAAGCTCCCTTAGCAGCATTTTCACTTGCAGACTGCCTGACCTCTAAAGGAAGGTCATTCCAGAGCCTTGGGCCTGCGATGGAAGAAGACCGATCACCATACCGATTTATTGTTGGTCTTACCAATCTCAAGATAATTCTGCGCAGCAGACCTAAGTGATCTACTATAAGTCCTGTAACTAAGCAATTGACCACTCCAGAAATACTATAAAATACCATAATGCTCTTTTGTTGGTCACTCCAAAAAGTTACAGAAGCATTGTCTTCAGTTTCTCTTGGGAGTTAAATTGGCCCTAAGAGAAACTAAAAACAATGCTTATGCAAAATTTGGGGTGACAAACAAAGACATTATGGTATGTTATGCTATTTTCTGGAGTGGTCAATTCTGAGATGCATGTAAGAAGGCGATTGACTATTACGTCTTTCGTACACTTGTCAAGTAATAAACTTTCGCACACTTGTCAAGTAATAAAATCTTAAATATAATTCTTTGATTTAGCGGTAACCAACGAACTAGACTGTAGAGAACGGGTGAAATATGATCAAATTTCCGGGTTAAAGTAACAATTCTAGCAGCAGTAAGTTGAAGTAACTTTAATCGGTTCAATTAATGAGTTGCAGTGCCAGTTGGAGTTAACAAACGTGTGGATCAAAATCTCTGTTAAGTTTATGTCTCCTTCCATTCCTTGTAGTCAGGAAAAATCGTTTTAGTCTTTTGAAGACTTAAAAGGCAATCACAGGTAGCTGACATCATATCTTTACTCGACCGCCAATGGAAACGCTCGCAGAACTCATCATGCCATCTATTTTATTGGTGTTCATTAAAGTAATTAGCTAAGAAAAATGTCGTGGAATGTATTACTCTATATGCAACAATGGCCATTATGGCAATTGTATTGTTACAAGAAATCTATTTTGTTGTCATTGAACACTGAATTAATTAGCACATTGTAAAGTTATAACAGAATATTTGTTTTTTCAGATAATTTAATAAACGTTTTCGAATTTCATCATTTTCGCATAAATTATGACCTAAATTTGGAAACCGCTGAATTTCTCGAATTGGGTCTTTGCGATTTTGGTGAAACTCTGTTCAGCGCAAGGCACTAAGGCGCACTATGTGTAGCCGAGAGATTTTCACGAAAAAATGCCGACAACAGCAGATTTTCGACTCAGACCTCAAAAGGACGTGGCATTATAACCACGTGACATTTACTCCGATCGCCAAAAATTTTATGCTATATTGTAGAATGATCTATATGTTATCCATTCTATGTGTTATACTTACGATAAAAGTAAAGGTGGGGATACCAGCGAGCCTCAAAGTAGGATGGTACCCCCCAAAAAAACTGGGTCGAGTCACCTTAATGGTCATGGGACTTGCAGGACGTGAAAATGGCCGGAAAAGCGAAAAATTGTCGAATCCTGGCTCGGTATATAGGCATCCTCACAAACGATTTCTGAATGGTAGTAAATCTTGTTTCAGTAATTCTTATATCAATAAAAATAAGGAACTCTTTAGAAATTTCAACCAAATTTAATGACAAAAAACTTTGTGCGTTTTTTTTTTCGCCCCCAAAATTCCTTCAAAACATTGCAGCATAGAAGCAAAAGCGTGGAATGTAATTAACCATAATTACCTTAATTACATATCTTGCTTGCATGAAACTCTGTTTGCCGTAAAAGTGATTGTAAATCGCGCTAGAGTCGCTGTTCAATTTTTCAGACGAAAGAACTGTTAACTTAGTTGGACCGTCCGCTTTGAGTTGTTGTCGTTATCGATACGATACGATACGCAACAACTTGTGAAATTAAGACGGTTTGCGTTCAAATAGTGTAACTAACGATGTGAGGAAACAAGTGCCCATGAAATGGTTAAAGATTCAACACGAGGTCAGGGAAAGCTTCCAAGTGTCCCTTCAAAGCCTCTTTTAAAAAACGTTTTAAAAATATCATTGAAACACTTTAGTAGATTAGCTTTCCCAAAAAAAAAAACTTTTTTCATAGCTATTTGCATTCTACAAACAGCGCGTTCCTCCTAGGTAAATTCCCTGGCCGAGTTCCTCGAAAAATTTATAACTTTCATTGTCTTGAGACACCGGCAAAGAATTTTAAAACTTTTTTACTGGATTTAACTCTTGGCTTCCGGAAACGGGGCGAAGTATCAGATGTCTTAACAACAGTGGTGTGAGGGTATATCCCAAACAAGTTTACCTATGAAAGAATACTAGGTTCATGTTTTCATTTTACTTATCTAAAACGTCCTAATTTAAAGTAAGACACTTATTGAAACGAATACCTGCCATTAATACTTACCACTATCATAATCAGTGGCCGTTGCTTTTAGATACGCTCATCTGCCTTGTTTGACAGCCGGACCAAAGAAAGACCGTTATCTACCAATGGATGTGTGCACAGTTATACCTTGTGAGAAGAAACATTTAACTGAAGAGCAGACTTCAAACTTGATTAAGAGCACTGCGCGCCCTGCACCCGAACGACAACAAGATATTGACGAATGGGTAGGCGTTTTTTGTGCCAAATTTCGACTTTCTTATAGAAGCCCGTGCGGGTTTGGGAGGCAAAAAACTTGTCAAATAGGGCTGAAGAATAATGAGCTATAATGCCTGAGTGAGACCAGGGCAAAGAAAAGGCTAGTTCCGGCCCGTGTCCGTTCCAGTTTCCAGTGACATTTGACACGAGAAACAGTTTTCAGATAGTGGGCGAGGTAGAGGGCAGATTGAGGTATTTGAAAAGATGCATACAGGCTCTCCCCTTCTCTCCTCCCGCCGTTTTTCGCTCGTTCGCTTTTTTCGCTCGTCCTCACAGAGCCTGGCACAGGCTAGTGTATCTCAGGTATATAATAGAGGTGATAACTTTTTTACCGGAATAAACCTACAAAACCAATTATTTTATGATTTCAATTTGTTTCATTTTTACTTTATTAGGTTTATGAAAGGGCTAACTAAGTGATGTAAGCAAATTCAAAGGAAAGCTAATATTTTGAACTGATTGATGTTTACTGAATGTTTCATGTTTTTAGCAAATTAATACAAAGATTTTTTTTTGCAAACCCACACAGGCTAAGAAGTACGTGGAATTCAGCGCCGAGTACTTAGACAAGGAGTTCGGAATCTCTGTACACTCTAAAATGGTCAAAGTGGAAGGCCGTGTGTTACCAGCACCTCCTCTTTCTCTTGGGCCGCAAGATGAAGTACTGACCCCTCAAAAGGGAGGATGGGATTTACGCGGCAAACATTTGCACAGTGGAGCTCAGTTAAGTGTCTGGACCGTGGCGTGCTTTGCCTTGGAGCCTAATCAGCACAGTGATGGTTTGTTGAGGAAGTTTTTTAAGGCATTGACCAACATGTCGTGTCGGGAAGGAATGAAAATGACAGAACCAGTTGATTGGGGATACTTCAGAAGCAGACATGAGGTAAAATAGGTTTTTTGGAGGCATTTCTTGATACTGTTGAAATCTCTTTTTAGTTAGGTTTTACGTTTGTGGTGACTGTTATTTGGTGTCTTGATATTTGCATCTAACCGTTATTTTCAAGAAACGGAGAGACATCTAAACGATGTTGACTTCAGTGGTGTCTCCTGTCGCAGGATAGTCCAGGTTTTTTTTTTGTGTGTCGTGTCCTACGCTCCTTACTGTATTTTCCAACCTTACGAAAGCATGCGCTCACGTTTGCTTTAACAATTATTTTCTCGCCCTTATTTCACTCTTAGTGTACTTTTGTCGCCTTTATACGCCTTTGTTTTGGTCTCCGTAGAGGCGTGGTGGCCGAGCGGTTAGCACCTCAACCTTAGGACCTGTAGGTCCCGATCCACTGTCTTCCTTCACGTAGGATGGAAAAGCACCCAATCCAGGGGCGGTAGCAACAGTAATACTCCTTACCTAGGTGCTTCTTGCTACTGAAACCGAGTTATGTACATGTGGGCCTCCTCAGCTCTTCCTTTTGGCTTGTGTGCGCCTTTATCTTATACCTCTTTCGGTTGCTATTTCATTCATTTTCATTTGTCTGTTTGCCGGTTTTAGGTAGACGGTTCATTTCGTGAGTGGAAGAAGAAATTTCCAAACTTACAGCTTGTCATGGTTATTGTTCCAATGAAGAATAAAGAAATTTATGCTGAAGTGAAACGAGTGGGTGACAACGTGATTGGGATTCCCACCCAATGTGTCAGGATCAAACAGGTTGAAGAATGCAAACCGCAAGTCTGTGCCAACCTGTCGATGAAGATTAATGCAAAACTAGGAGGAGTGAACCATGTTATTCATCCTTCAGTCAAGTCACTTGTGTTCCAACAACCTGTTATTATATTTGGCGCTGATGTAACTCACCCCCCTCCTGCTAAAAAAGGCGCTGATGCAACTCACCCCTCTCCCCCTGAAAATGAAATTCCATCAATCGCTGCTGTAGTGGCCAGTATGGATGTCAATGCTGCGAAATACCATGCGCGAGTTCGAGCACAGAAAAACAAGAGGTCTGGAGGTGCACAGGAGATTATCATTGATCTCGCCGTCATGGTGAAAGAGTTGCTTGTTGATTTCTACAAAGAAACTAAAGGAAGGAAGCCTAAGCGTATCATATTCTACAGAGACGGGGTAAGCGAAGGGCAGTTTGATGAAGTGCTCGTTCATGAAGTGCGCGCTGTGCAAGAGGCCTGCGAAATGCTTGATAAAGAATATCACCCACAAATCACATTCATTGTTGTTCAGAAAAGACACCACACGAGGTTGTTTTGTGAAGACAAGCGAGATGCATCTGGGAAAGAGCAAAATGTCCCACCAGGCACCACTGTGGATAGAGGAATCACCCATCCCTATGAGTTTGATTTCTATTTGTGCAGCCATTACGGAATTAAGGTAGGCTGTTAACTTATCTTAAAGATCACATTTTGAATGGACCTTTTTCACTTGTCTGTTTTGTTGTCACACTGTGTTTTCTTGTTAGGAATGGAAAGTCGGCTTGTCAGAGTGAATATATCAAATTTCAAAAGAGAATTTTCCCTTGATTCCTAGCAAACGGTCTACAGACCTTTCCCGCACTCCGCTCCGGTGGCGGGGCACACATGATGTAACGAGGTCAAGGCTTGGGTGGGCAGTATCATGCAAACTCGTACCGCATTTTGCTGTGAGTTGGTACCTTTTTCCATGAGAATGCGGGAAAGATTTCAATTATTGACTAGAAAACCTCTTTGAAAGAAAATAAATCGCTTTTTTGTCTATTTAAATGAATGCAAAGAAATATAATCATCGAAATGAAAATTAATGTGAAAACTGAGCTTTTAACCTTCTGACCAGTCTGTTTTTGGATATGTTAGGTACCTTAACTCTGTATCATAGTAAGTTAAGCTTTGTGGTTTAAACTTCATAGATTAATTAATTAACTACTTTTAATTAATTAAAAACAGAAAAAACCTCTGTGTAAGTTGTCAGTTGGTGGTACTGTTTGTTGGTTTGTCTTTTCATTTTTTACCAAATAATAGTTTTCTGTGATTTTCAGTCTGGGATTTTCGAAGTTCATTAACTAAAAGCGTTCTTTTTCCTTGTCTTCTTCCCTGTGTCGTTTCAGGGGACAAGCCGACCAACACACTATCACGTTTTATACGACGAAAACGGTTTTAAGGCTGACGGGCTTCAAAAGCTCACATATCAACTGTGCCACGTTTACGCCCGATGCCCGCGGAGTGTTTCCATGCCAGCCCCCGCATTTTATGCCCATTTGGTAGCCTTCCGTGCCAGATACCACGTGACTTATGGAAGGTGAGAGGCGTAATAATAACAACAGGAGGAATTAAGCAATAGAAAACGTTTTCCGTGTTTGCATAGCCTGATATAAACACGACAGGGGTTGGGAGAATTCGAGACCGTTCTGCAAACCCGAGACGAAGTCGAGGGTTTGCATAACTGTCGAGAATTCTCCCAACGCCTCGAGTGTTTATATCAGGCTATGCAAACACAGGAAAAAAGTTTTCTATTGCTTTTATAAAATAACTTTCCCGAGAAAAAAACGCAAAACTCTTTGTATGGCACTGATTAAAATAGAAATTCTTACCAGTCGCAAAATCTTGTCCACGAAGTCTTGCACGCGTAATCAGTTCTTGTTTTGCAAAAAAATGCTTTGCAAAATACGGATTTTTCTCGCTTAAAACGGTCAGCTTAAGCGAAGAAAAATGTACACACCTTCTTTGTAACGATTTNATCAGGCTATGCAAACACAGGAAAAAAGTTTTCTATTGCTTTTATAAAATAACTTTCCCGAGAAAAAAACGCAAAACTCTTTGTATGGCACTGATTAAAATAGAAATTCTTACCAGTCGCAAAATCTTGTCCACGAAGTCTTGCACGCGTAATCAGTTCTTGTTTTGCAAAAAAATGCTTTGCAAAATACGGATTTTTCTCGCTTAAAACGGTCAGCTTAAGCGAAGAAAAATGTACACACCTTCTTTGTAACGATTTTCCAAGTTTCATCCGACGAAGGAATGGGTAAATAAAGTAAACTTTTTGAGTTTTGAACTCGAAAACTTTTTCAAATTTGTGCTTGCGTGATTAGCGCGCGAAAAGCCAAACAACTTGACGCCACAACCATGTTTAAATACTCTCATGCAAACACTCCTCTCGGCCAATCAGAGCGCACGTACTATCTTAGTTATTTTATAAATGGTAATAGCATTTTAGCTGCCTATTTGCACCCTACCTTACATCGGATCAACCGGTAATTCTTGAAGCTGACACTTGATATATTTTAAGAACTCTTGTCTTAAACGATTACTGAGCACTTTTTCTGTTGTTTGTTCTCTACCTAGGGACGGTGAAGCTATTGATTTGGAGACGTCAGCGAAAGCCATAGAAGTTAGCGACAAAATGAAGCAGTCGATGTACTTCGCTTGAGCATCTAAACGACAGCAAAGCTACCCGATTGTTGCTGAATTTCTCTTAAAATCGTTGCTTGTTCTCTCGTCAAGGGTAACCCCAGGACATAAGGCTAAAGTTAATGAGAAACTAGAATCCCTGTTTTGGGGTTAGTTTTTACTTAGTAAAAAGCTAAGGTTAAATTAAGGAGTACGGACGAGATCAAGGCAATAACGCTCTTGCTCCAACGGAGTAACAGAAGGTCAAAACGCGCGTGATTAGATTGCGTTCTGTATATTCCATTTATTCCTAGTGTCGATCTTAGTGGAAGTCCAAACTACTATTGCTGGCTACATACGAGCATTCTGGAGATTAGGATTGCGGGCCCCTGTAGTCGCCCGCAAAAATGTTCAATATAGACACTCAAGCAACCTTGTTCCCAGGCTCTATCTTCTTCCCGTGCCCTAAGAAGAGAGACACTCTGGATGAATGAGAAATGCTTTTCAAACTTTGCTATTCCCTTGCTGTCTATCAAAAACAGTTCAATTTGCAACAAATTCCGTTTAACCCACACACTACTCGTCAAAGTTGACCTATTCATCTTCACTATACTTTCGAATTTCCATGAGCCTAAAAAAAAAAAAAATTAAGAAATGTTGTTCGAGTTTATGTGGATCTTTATCGGAAACGCTTTCAAATTTGGATAGAGTGCGACCTCGAGATAGCCAATAGCAGAGATCCCTGATGGAAAAAGAGAAGACAAGAAAAACATTTCAGCCGTGTAGCAAGGGATTTTGACACTAAGGGCCCGCTCAATCTTTTGATGAAAGATAATCTATAATAAACGGATGTAATGCTAAATGTGCATTCTCCTAATACAATATCATGGAAACAAATAGCTGAATATTGATTGACCATAAATGTTCGAGAAGTTCTTCGTTTTCAAAAACGTCGACAACTAGATGAGGCCAAGAGCTACCCTTAACTTAATAATAATAATAATAATAATAATAATAATAACAATAATAATAATAATAATAATAATAAGAAGAAGAAGAAGAAGAAGAAGAAGAAGAAGAAGATAAACCAATGTTTATTTAAGTGTCAGAACAATAAGTAATATTTACAGTTTTAAACTATATCGTATTGTTTACAAATTAAAAACTAAACATATGTCCACGATAGAAAACTAATTACAATTGTGAATAATTTAAAAGTGGAAAAAGGAAAATCAAGCATAATAATAATAATAACTTTATTTATATAGCGCTTAATCAATAATTGCTCCAAGCGCTTAACAATGCCAAATTAAATAAAAACAAGATTAGAGGGTACATATACGAAAATAATTATTTAAGAGTTCAAACTAATATATGCTATTCTTTACAATAGTTCAAAGGTGTGTAGTTATCAAATAATATTAATATGAAATACTTTAAATGTCCAATTAATCGTAAGTACTATAACATATACAAATAATAAAATATATATTTATATATACAACTAATCTAATTCGTAGGCTTGTTTAAATAGGTGAGTCTTCAGCGCTCCCTTAAAAGCATTTTCACTTGCAGACTGTCTTGCCTCTAAAGGAAGGTCATTCCAGAGCCCTGGGCCTGCGACGGAAAAGCCCTATCACCTTACGATCTATTGTTGGTCTTACCAACCTCAAGGTAATTCTGCGCAGGAGACCTAAGTGATCTATTATAGGTCCTGTAATTAAGCAATTCTGAGATGTAAGAAGGCGATTGACCATTAAGTCTTTTGTACACTTGTCAAGTAATAAAATCTTAAATATAATTCTTTGATTTGTCGGTAACCAACGAACAAGACTGTAGAGAACGGGTGAAATATGATCTAATTTCCGGGTTAAAGTAACAATTCTAGCAGCAGTGAGTTGAAGTAACTTTAATCGGTTCAATTTATAAGCGGGTAGTCCATAAAGTAATGAGTTGCAGTGCCAGTTGGAGCTAACAAAAGTGTGGATCAAAATCTCTGTTAAGTTTATTTCTCCTGGCATTCCTTGCATTCAGAAAAAATCGTTTTAGTCTTTTGAAGACTTAAAAGGCAAGTCGCAGGTAGCTGACATCATATCTTTACTCGACCGCCAATGGAAACGCTCGCAGAACTCATCATGCCATATATTTTATTGCTGTTCATTAAAGTAATTAGTAAAGAAAAATGTCGTGGTCTGTATTACTCTATATGCAACAATAGCCATTATGGCAATTGTATTGTTACAAGAAATCTATTTTGTTGTCATTGAACACTGAATTAATTAGCACATTGTAAAGTTATAACAGAATATTTGTTTTTTCAGATAATTTAATAAACGTTTTCGAATTTCAAAGAATGTTCGAAGAGAAGCGTAATTCGGAAAGGGTTGGGGAACTTGGACATAAATCGCTCCATAGTTTCGCTGTGACAGCTGGAACACTGAATTCAAAGTACACCTTCACGTACGCATTGCGTATCTATATTTTTCTATTGGTGGAATGCAAATAAGAGGCAAAGCTTCGAGAACCCAAAGCTGTTGGCTGTCTGCTCAGCATAAGTTATTATTTTCATGCAGTACAATAATTCTGTATAGTCCAGGTCACTGTCGTGAACGGGTTTCCGCCAAATACTCACTCTCGATATGGCTACCCAGATCTGCTTTCATGGTCTTTCATAAAATTAAGGTAACAGATTTTCAGTTCTACTAGGATTCTACGTCACGCAATGGTCAGCGGCAAGGTTTTATTGTAACCTGTGCTTCCTCTCAGAAAAAAATCGCCAAGGCAGCCCGGTGTAATTCGCCTTTCGGCGAGATCCGGATTCAACTCGGCACAGTCTTTAGTGGTGCGACAAAAAGAGTCTGGCTTTTCATTCTCTTCCCCAAGCCACCAGGGGGTAGGGGAAGAGTATTCCTCCCTCTCTCTCTCTCCAGTCCTCGGTGGGTTCCCGACAGCCCCGTCTAGGTGTGCGGACTTTTTGCGGACTTTTTGACGAATTTTGTTCCTAGGGTGGAGAGGGAAGGGCACTCTCGCCAGGTTTCGAGAAATTTATCGTACTAGGATTGACAGTGCTTAAAGAGAGTATGGTGTGTCGAATCTGTTCGAGTTTATATACATTGTTTAACTAAAGGACATTATAAATTACTAGTGAAGTGAATTTCTGACACTTTAAACGCCAGCTCCACCGTAGCCAGATTAGTATTGTTTAGGTATCTTAACTTGCATGTGACCTCGAGCTAGCCAATGACAAATGAAAAAGAAGGAAAGGAAACAAGAGAAAAGAAAGAAAAGGAAAAGAGAAACTAAAATAAAAAACTTTTCAGTCATGTATTAATTTTAACATTATTTTTGAAAAGTTAGTTTTCGCCGGGGTGGCGATATGGAATCTTTTGACGCCTCAACTGGGGTACTTTGTAATTCTGAGCACTTAAAAATGAAGTTTGGCTGAGTCATGCACACATGACTGGCACGGAGCTTTTAGACTGTACAACTGATATTTGCCCATGTTATTTCATCCATTTTTACACAATATAAGTCCACCCCGTCATTTGCTGAAAGGTAATCTGTAATAAACGGCTAAATTAAGGTACTGCATTTGCTATCATGGAAACAAACTGATCATGATTGCTCAAGAAGTTCTAACTTCGGTAACTGACGTAACTTTCACCTCAAGATGAGGTCAAAAAAGGCTACACCTCGATTTGTTGCAAATTTCTTGCTGAAATCTTTTTTAAAACGATACTTTGGCAGTCCCTCAGCCAAGAAGAATCGTGTAAGGACTTTATGTGGCCTTCGTCACTCAAAGTCACTTCACTTCGTCTACTTCGTGTTGGAAGGTCTTGTAATTAGCAGATCTAAGTGACGCCATATCTTTACGCAACTTTCAGTGAAAACGCTCGTAGAAGTCACGCCGGATATTGGTACAAATGTTCGTGAATGTAATTTGTTAGATAATCTCGTGAACTATATAATCCTCGCTAAAACAATAGACAAAATGGCACGTTCATTATCACAAGAAATCCTTTTTGTCGCCTTTGCATACCGAGTAACTTAGCACATAATAAGGTTATAATGGGATATTGATTACTCACATGATTTTCAAGTTTTAGCCTCTTACTCTGTAGTCTTCCAC